TTTTTTTTTTTTTTTTTTTTTTTTTTTTTTTTTTTTTTTTTTTTTTTTTTTTTTTTTTTTTTTTTTTTTTTTTTTTTTTTCAACAAGTCGGCCGTCCCCACCGAGGCAGGGTGACCCAAAAAAAAAAGAAAGAAATCCCCAAAAAGAAAATACTTTCATCATCATTCAACACTTTCACCACACTCACACATTATCACTGCTTTTGCAGAGGTGCTCAGAATACAACAGTTTAGAAGCATATACGATAGAGATACACAACATATCCCTCCAAACTGCCAATATCCCAAACCCCTCCTTTAAAGTGCAGGCATTGTACTTCCCATTTCCAGGACTCAAGTCCGACTATATGAAAATAACCGGTTTCCCTGAATCCCTTCACTAAATATTACCCTGCTCACACTCCAACAGATCGTCAGGTCCCAAGTATCATTCGTCTCCATTCACTCCTATCAAACACGCTCATGCACGTTTTCTGGAAGTCCAAGCCCCTCACCCACAAAACCTCCTTTACCCCCTCTTTCCAACCTTTCAGGATGACCCCTACCCCTCTTTCCTTCCCCTATAGTTTTTATATGCTTTCCATGTCATTCTACTTTGATCCATTCTCTCTAAATGCCCAAAAACCACCTCAACAACCCCTCTTTTCTGCCCTCTGACTAATGCTTTTATTAAACTCCACACCTTCTCCTAATTTCCACACCCGAATTTTCTGCATAATTTTTAACACCACACATTGCCCTTAGACGGGACATCTCCACTGCCTCCAACCGTCTCCTCGCTGCTGCATTTACCACCCAAGCTTCACATCCATATAAGAGTGTTGGTACTACTATACTTTCATACATTCCCTTTTTGCCTCCATAGATAACGTTTTTTTGACTCCACATATACCTCAACGCACCACTCACCTTTTTTCCCCCCATCAATTCTAGATTAACCTCATCCTTCATAAATCCATTTCCCCCGACACGTCAACTCCCAAGTATCTGAAAACATTCACTTCTTCCATACTCCTCCCCCCCAATTTGATATCCAATTTTTCTTTATCTAAATCATTTATACCCTCATCACCTTACTCTTTTCTATGTTCACTTTCAACTTTCTACCTTTACCCCACATTCTCAAACTCATCCACTAACCTTTGCAATTTTTCTTTAGAATCTCCCATAAGCACAGTATCATCAGCAAAAAGTAACTGGTCAATTCCCATTTTGAATTTGGGTTCCCCATAATTAATCCCCACCCCTCTCCCGAACCCTAGCATTTTCTTCTTTTACAACCCCATCTATAAATAAATTAAACAACCATGGTGACATTACACATCCCTGTTAAGACCTACTTTACCGGGGAAATATTCTCCCTCTCTTCTACACACCCTAACCTGAGGGCCTCACTATCCTCATAAAAGCTCTTTACAGCCCTTTAGTAACTACCACCTATTCCATATACTTGCAACATCTGCCACATTACTCCTCTATCCACTCTACATATGCCTTTTTTTAAATCCATACATGCAATAAAAACTTCCCTACCTTTATCTAAATACTGTTCACATATAAAGTGTGTGTATATATATATATATATATATATATATATAATATTTATATATATATATATATATATATATAATATATATATATTATATATATATATCTTTCTTTCTTTCTTTTAACACACCGGCCGTATCCCACCGAGGGGGGGTGGCCCAAAAGGAAAAACGAAAGTTTCTCCTTTTACATTTAGTAATATACAGGAGAAGAGGTTACTAGCCCCTTGCTCCCGGCATTTTTAGTTGCCTCTTACAACACGCATGGCTTACGGAGGAAGAATTCTGTTCCACTTCCCCATGGAGATAAGAGGAAATAAACAAGAAAAAAGAACTAGAAAGAAAATGAAGAAAACCCAGAGGGGGGTGTATATATTGCTTGTACATGTATGTGTAGTGTGACTAAGTGTAAGTAGAAGTAGCAAGACGTTACCTGAAATCTTGCATGTTCATGAGACAGAAAAAAGGACACCAGCAATCCTACCATATGTTAAAACAATTTAAAAGGGTTTCGTTTTACACTCACTTGGCAGGGCGTGTACCTCCCTGGGCGGTTGCTGTCTAAACCCAACCTACTACCTATATATATTTTATATAAATATTTTAATATATATTTTTTTTCAACAAGTCGGGCCGTCTCCCACCAAGGCGCGTGACCCAAAAAAAGAAAGAAAATCCCCAAAAAGAAAATACCTTCATCATCATTCAACATTTTCACCTCACTCACACATAATCATTGTTTTTGCAAAGGTGCTCAGAATACAATACAGTGGACCCCCGGTTAACGAACTTTTTTCATTCCAGTAGTATGTTCAGGTGCCAGTACTGACCGAATTTTTTCCCATAAGGAATATTGTGAAGTAGATTAGTCCATTTCAGACCCCCAAACATACACGTACAAACGCACTTACATAAATACACTTACATAATTGGTCGCATTTGGAGGTGATCGTTAAGCGGGGGTCCACTGTAGTTTAGAAGTATATACGTATAAAGATACACAACATTTCCCTCCAAACTGCCAGTATCCCACGCCCCTCCTCTAAAGTGCAGGCATTGTACTTCCCATTTCCAGGACTCAAGTCCAGCTATTTAAAAATAACTGGTTTCCCTGAATCCCTTCACTAAATATTACCCTGCTCACACTCCAACAGCTCGTCAGGCCCCAAATACCATTCGTCTCCATTCACTCCTATCTAACGTGCTCATGCATGCTTCCTGGAAGTCCAAGCCCCTTGCCTACAAAATCTCCTTCATTTCACGGGGGCACAACCTGGGTTACTTATTGAAGTAGCTTGTATTTTTACCTCATTCTTCTTAATTATGCAAATTGATGCTTCATTCAGGCTATAGGTACATACACAAATAACCTGCACATTGAAGAGAGGAGCTTACGATGACGTTTCAGTCTGACTTGGTCCATTTACAAAGTCAGTGTGACTTTGTAAATGGTCCAAGTCGGACCGAAACGTCATTGTAAATTCCTCTCTTCTATGTGCTGGTTATTTGTGTATCGTTCCAGTCATGGTATTGTGCCTTTTTTTTTTATTCATAGGCACATGCCATCTCCACATGTACATGCACAACACTTAAGCTTGTCGAAGATCTTGAGTTTCTTCGAAACACCAAGTCTTTCACACTTATGCTTTCTTGTAGTTCCAGGAGCACTCGCATTCCTCTTGGTGTCATCGTTCCTATCCTGAGACAAAATGGGATGATGAAAAGATCAAAAGTTGATTCACTAACACAGGTCGAGTATTGTATTGGATGTGTACAAACAAAGCACTGGGTGAGGGAGGCTGTGTACATTGTGTAGACCTTCCCAGTAAGACAATGGACTCACTCCTGAGGCTCACTGTAAGATGGAGGGAAGAACACGGCATGTGGCATATTTTCCCTTACATGTACTCCACCTTGTAAACTGATTTATAACACGTTCCCTGAAAATACGATGTAATTTTGCAGCCGTGTTATAGCAAAAATGTGTTAACATTTTGTGTGTCATCCGGCGGTATACCGTACATTCCCCAGCATGTAGTAATGCTAATGAAAAAGGATACCAACTCAGCTTAACATTTCCAAGTGAGAGCAGTGAGCTATAAAAGATTGAATCATCCTGCTGCTCTGCTGACACAACTGGCCTGCCATGTATATAATTACCCAGTATACTTATTGTAGCTGCAAGAGCAAGGCTATGCTCATAGTGTTCTGTCTTCATTGTTATATTTATTACTTAAGTTCTTTAAATTTCCTTTGTTTGTAACTTTTGCTGCATCCTCTTGTATCCCATTCCATTGTTCCACCACTTTGTGAAGATAAACATTCTAGATGATTTTCAACACTGCTTTCTTTCTCAGTTTACAGCTGTGGCCCCCTGTTCTCCATGTTGATGTACTGTAACTCTTCTATGTATATTTTTTTTTATAATTGCATGGCCTTTTGTGATATTTAGTTATCAGAGAGTGGCCCACTAGATTTCCAGCTTGTGCAATTGTGGTAGCAGTTGCTGATATTAAGGTATTCTAGAATGAGGTAAGAGGATCAACATTAAATGATTGGTGGGAAAAATTGTGGTTCATAGTGAAAAAATTTGTTTTTCCCACAGTACTTAATGAGGGAAAAATTATTAAGCTATGCAGGGTTGTGGAAGGGCAAGAGAGTGTCTGATTTGTAGGAGGAAGATGACAAAGAATTTTTGGATTTACAACAGGAGGACTTTTATTTTTTTTTAACCCACCTGACTCTCACAAAGGTTGGGTGACCTGAAAAAGGAAGAGGAAAAATGAATGCATGAGACCACTGGCAGTGAAAATACAGATAAAGATGAGCAAGGGAAATGACAACTTGATGGCACTTACATGGGAAAGTCTGCGTGGCCTTAAAAAATGCCATAAATAAATTTGTTAAGTATAAGTTCTAACATTAACAGAAGTCTTGCTTTCAAACATGTTGTTGAAGCATTAACAGCTCCCAATTGTGAGCTTGATAAATTAGTCATGATTAGAAGCAGTGTCACATCAGTGACTGTTTCAGTAACTCTACACAAAAATAAGTACGTAGTTCACTAGTGTGCATCAAGTTTATCAACATTGACACTATTGTAACATTCTCCCCATTCTTATCCCAGATTTTCCACATATATTTTTTTATAAATGCATCTACGGTATTAAATGTTTTAGAAAATGCAGTGTATGTTATATTGAGGAGCGGCACCCATATTTTTCCAACCACATTCATTGGGTCTACTGTCTGCATATTTGTATTTAACACAATAGAGTAACATAAAATTTGTTATGGAGAAATGCACTTAGCTCTGCCATACAATTAGCATTATGGTAAATTTAGCCTTCTTAGTCATTATTATGCTAAAGATACATTTTCTTGATTCGATACTGTTTCAGACATCACTATTACAATTATGACATATATAAATACCTAGTCATTGCCATTTCAGAAATGGTCGTGTGTATCACAGCGATGGAATGGGTAGCATGGGAGGAGGAAGTGGGTCGGCCCCAACAACAGTAAGTACAATGGGCCGCGGTGACAACCACCACAACCATCACCACCACACTCACAGTCACAGTCACTCTCTGGGCCCCAACCATGGCCAGTATGCCACTCTGTCCAAGCAGTGCAAGACTCTCGAATCATCTGACTTCTACTAACCGCATGGTTCTCTTCATGGTGTTGCTGGATTCTTAATTGTGCCCATTATTAGAACTCTAGAAAAGTTTCAAAATCCTTATTAAATTATTGGAATCTTTGGGGAAGCATGTGGAAAAGTGTTCACCAGACATTAAGGGGATTATTTTTCCAGTCTTTAAAGGTAGAATTATTGTGGTCATAATATAATATGCCAAAGGATATGAAATGCTTTAATCTATTAAGGGAACAGAGTCTTCAGTCTATCTGTATTTGAGTAAAAACTGGTGTATTTAAGAATTTTTGTAGATAAAGATGGCTGGAGTACATTTCCTTTTTTGTTATGTTTCATTTTTGATGCAGTTGGCCATTTTTGTACAATTCTTTGAATGTTAACTAACTGCACTTTATCTATGAGAGGCTTCTTTATGTTAATGTGTAGAGTAATATTACCTATAAATGTGCATGCTTCCTTTGGAGGGTTGGAATCTTGAATACTTTCACTCTATTGCTATAAATGTTCAAACTTGTTTTATTTACTTATTTATATATACGTGTGTGTGTATATATATATATATATATATAATTGTACCCACAAAACAAGTGGTATTGATCAATAACAACACTGCACTAGCCAAGGAGTCGAACCCATGCTGTTTTGGTTTGCCTCATGGTGAGAGAAAACGCACAACGCTAGTGGTCTAAAGAGTCGTGTGTTTTCTCGCCATGAGGCGGGCCAAAACAGCATGGGTTCAACTCCTTGGCTAGTGCAGTGTTGTTATTGATATATTTGATTTATATATATATATATATATATATATTATATATATATATATATATATATATATATATTATATATATATATATATATATATTATATATATATGTATATATATATATATATATATGTATATATATATATATGTATATATATATATATATATGTATATATATATATATATATGTATATATATATTATATATGTACAGTGGACCCCCGAGTTAACGATTTTAATATCCGTGCAGAGGGCTCATCGTTATCGAAATAATCGTTATGCGAATTAATTTTCCCCATAAGAAATAATGGAAATAAAATTAATCGTGCAAGACGCCCAAAAGTATGAAAAAAATTTTTTTTTACCAACATGAAATGTTAATTTTAATACACACAAACTGAAAAAGGCATGCACAATTACATGACACTTACTTTTATTGAAGATCTGGTGATGATTGATGGGATGGGAGGAGGGGAGAGCATTATCTTCTTACTGTTTAGAAGGGGAATCCCCTTCCATTAGGACTTGAGGTAGAAAGTCCTTTTCTGGGGGTTACTTCCCTTTTTTCTTTTAATGCCCCCTAGGACCAGCTTCAGAGTCACTGGACCTCTGTCGCACAAACAAATCTGTCCATAGAGCTCTGTACCTCCCGTTTCTTCAAGACTTTCCTAAAATGGGCCATAAACTTGTCATTGAAATAGTCACAAGCACGGCTTGCAACAGCTGTGTCAGGGTGATTTTATCTATAAAGGGTTTTGCAGTTCAAACCACTTGCACACATTTCCTTAATCTTTGAAGTAGGCACAATGGATTCCACAACTGGCATAGGCTTCTCAGGGTTAGCCCCAAACCCTTCAAATCTTTCTTAATTTCCATACTAATTCTCACCCTTTTTACCAAGGGTTGGCACTAGAAGCTTTCTTGGGGCCCATGGTCACTTATTTTCCAGAAAACACCACGAAAAAAACTGTAATAATACGAAATATTCCGAGTGTATGCTTGGATGTTACCGCGGAGGTGGGGTGGTAAAAAAATGGGACGGGGCCCGGGCCCTGTGAGGGCACATTGGACGCGTCTCGGACGAAAATCGGTATGTGGGTTTTTAATCGGTATGCGGGGCAAAAATTTTGCGATAAAAGTTTAACGTTTTGCGGAAAAAAGCTTGCGATGCCATCGTTATGCGGGGGTCCCCTGTATATTATTTTATATATGTTTTATATATTTTTAAAATTGTTTTATATATATATTATGTTTTTTTATATTTATATGTATTTTTAATTTTTTTGTTATATATTTATATGTTATTTAAATTATGTTATATATAATATGTTATTAAAAATTTGTTATATATTTTATTGTATATATTATTTTTGTATATATATATATATATATTAGTTTTATAATATATTGTTTATATTTATATGTATATTATATTGTTATATTATAGTTATATATTTATATGTTTATATTATGTATAATATTATGTATAATTTTATATGTAATTTATATTTGTTATTATTATGTATATAATATATATTATTTTTTTTATTATATTTTTATAATTTTTTATTAAAATTTTATATATATGCAAAACAACACTGTGAAAGAATAATGAAATTCCAAGCGCTTTCGTGACTACTCACATTATCAAGGAACAATAAAAGTGATGCATCAAAGGGAGGCATATAAAGGGTCTAGACCACACCTCACCATCACATCCCACAACAAAGCAACACCTGACATGTGACTCATAAGAAAGAGAACACTGCAGCAGGCCCGCTGGCCCAACTAGACGGGTCCTTCATGCAACCCACGAACAAACTATTCTACCCAAGAATTGAGATTTATTATTTGTCCAATGTATTATTAAATTCTTCCCAAATTCTGTTAATTATAAGGATCTAATTTATATAAACCAAAGGAAATATTCATATTATTTTCAAAACTGCTTTTTATGAAACAAGATTCAATTATATTCCTGTCAACCATGGACTTGCTTGATACAACTTTCTCAACTTTTTGAAAATCAATTGAGAAAGTTGTATCAAGCAAGTCCATGGTCGACAGGAATATAATTGAATCTTGTTTCATATAAAGCAGTTTTGACAATAATATGAATATTAACTTTGGTTTATATAAATTAGATCCATTTATAATTAATAGAATTTGGAAGAATTTAATAATAAACTGGACAAATAATAAATTTTAATTCTTGGGTGGAATAGTTTGTTTGTGGGTTGCATGAAGGACCTGTATAGTTGGGCCAGCAAGCCTGCTGCAGTGTTCTCTTATGAGTTGCACGTCAGGTGTTGCTTTGTTGTGGGATGTGACAGTGAGGTGTGGTCTAGACCTTTTATATATGCCTTCCTTTGATGCATCACTTTTATTGTTCCTTGATAATGTGAGTAGTCACGAAAGAGCTTGGAATTTCATTATTCTTTCACAGTGGTTGTTTTGCATATTCTGAAATCACCTGTTTACTGTGATCTTATTGCATATATATATATATATATATATATATAATATTATATATATATATATATAATATATATATATATATATATATATATATTATATATATATATATATATATATATATATATATATGCTGTTTATATTTTGTTCTAAAAAACTATATGGCTTTGTATGCTGTAAGAAATTAGCGAAATTTTTGAGGGTGTTTAAAATAGCCTTCTTGAATGTTACTTGGTAGTGTATTTACTGATTATTATTGTTATCTTAGTAATCTTCAAGGTATTTTTGACTGGGTGAGATCCATTAGATACACACATCTTGCAAACAGTTTTTTCAATATTCGGGACCAATAGTTGAGTACTTGGTCTTGATAGTGCCATTTTGTAAATACACTACTGTATAACCAGAATTTTTATCTGGGATGATTTAGATTCTGAGAGGATTTTTTTAATAAGATTTAATATATATTCATGTTTACATTTTATTTGGTGCTCTCTTGCTTATTTTCTTATTACCATAAAGTCTTTGATTTGTGAATGTGATGTAAGTCCATTTTAAGTTCACTTTATATATTCAGGAATGCTGAACACACTAAGGTTTACCTTAGTCCCTGTTAAAGCAATATTAAGGCAAATATTAGGTTTATAGAGGTTTTGATTATTTGAAATTATTTCTTGACAGCTGTTAGATCAACTTGTTTAATTATTATATAATTTTTATTGCTAAAAAAAATGCAGTTTAGGAGGAGTAACCATGAAATGAGAAGCTGGATTACTTACGGTACAAAATGTGTGGAATGTGATAATACAAGTTGTTTCATTTAAGATAATTGTTTCAAATCTTTAAGCCAGTAAAATAGTTTCATGTCTACACTGTAAGCTCAAAAATTTAGATATAGAGTGCTGTATTTGGAGTTTTCATGCAGAATGCACTGTCAGGGTAAAAAAAAAGCTACTTTGATTAATGGTGCCAAATTTGTCTAACTCCTTGGTGGAATTTTCTTTTCTTAAGTCAATAATTGTATTATTAAAAGCCTCCTTGGATTTACAGTTGTTAATTTTCTTAAGGTTGTATCACACTGTGTGACTTATAAAAAATAATGAGAGCAAATTATTTTCAAAGAAACCAGACTTTTGCTTGATATTAAAAATGAGTAACAATTTTTTTTGTTATTGTCCTGAAACCTTAGTCACATTAAAAAAAAAAAACAGTTTCTGCCATATGCCATTTGGTACAGTAAACCCTTGATTTGATGAACTGCAGAAATAAGAGGACACAATCCAACAGGTTAAGAGATTCGGAAAATTCAAAACTGTCCATTATTGTTAGTCTTGCCAAAATAATCTCATCCCCATCCGAAACAGTCATCATTATTGGCCACCTGCTCTCCTCTATTAATTTCTTTAATTGAGGGTTTATTATATCATATTTTCATTTATTATACTACATCTTGATAATATGGTTTATCATCAATAATGCAGCATTTTTTTTATTTTCACAAATAATGGTTTGCCTGGCAAATAGTACCATAAAGTATGGTAGGAAGAGAGAATTTTCAGAGCAAGTTTTTATTCTAGAGTTTTGTTCAGTGCTGAACTTTATGAAATGATGATGCAGTAAAGCTCAACGCTGACTGAAATAATGTTGAAGTATGGCATAGCTGATGAATGGTCAACAACACACAGCAAACAGAGACCTTTATTAGTACAATGTTTCACCTATTGTGCTTTTACCAAGTATCAAATACTGATAAAGACTCATGTAGGTATGACTAAGAAGTCTCCATTTGTTGTGTGTGTCTTTGTTACCGAGTGAAATGCTATCAGAACAAATACTTGGTCTTCATACTCTCTCTTGGATCATATATACAATGTGTACTTTAATATAACTTCTCTAGTGGAATATTTTGAAGTATAAAAAATAATAGTGTTTAGCCCCTACTCCCCAGCATTTTTGGTAAATAAAGCTTTTTGGTTAAATGTAACCGTAAGTAAAAAGTCTTGCTAATTTTTGTGAAGTTACCCAGTGTGATTCTGCCTTTAGTGGTGCTGGTTGACTGCTGTTCTCTGTATTGTCTTTCTATTTAACTTCAGTTACGCAGGACTAACATCCTAGATTTAATCCGGTCTTTGCCCTATGTGATTTCATTTGTTTAAGTATGTCCTTATAACAGTAACTCATAATTTCAGTCATGGCTACATTTTTTCCAAGATGAATTGTTTTAAAGAGGTGATTGTACATTGAGGCCAACCGTACGGGGAGGGGGGAAGGGGGAAGGGGTTGCACAAACTGAAGAAACTTATTGATATACTGCCCCCCCCCCTGTCCACACACACACAAAACACACACACACACAAAACACACACACATGCACAAAACACACACACATGCACAAAACACACACACATGCACAAAAAACACACACAAAAACAAAACAACACACACACAAAACAACACAA